CGTGGACAAACCATTCACTCTTGTTCAATGCGAATGCCGTATGCTGGAATATGAGCATTTATTCCGTCATCACCCGGGTGCTGATAGCGCGCGCGCGCACAGGTGAGACCTGAACAGCACACATTGATATCTGTGTTTAAGCTAAACTCATTTAAGCTTTGCCAGTTTAAACATTTAAGAGCCAGCTCGCGCGCGCAGTGAGAAGATTTGTGCGTGCGCTCATCTGACGCTCAAGGCGAGCAAATATTAAGCTCTCTCTGAAGTATTGTGTTTAAATGGACAAATTCTCACAAAAATTGTCAAAATGCCCGTCTTGGTAAGTATCCTATAGCAGACATAGCCGGCTGAACGTACTGGATCAGTGCATTCTCTTAAAGTGACAGCACTTTCTTAATATTAATCAAACAGCAACAAAGAAATCACTCACTGCTCTTGATTGAATAGCTTTTGTAACTTTAATAAAGATTAATATTTAATGTATGCAGTCAAATATGCAATGCTGTTTTACATTTCATTACTTTATTCAATTTCTGAATTGAAAACTAAAAACTAATGTTAGACCTACCTAAAAAAAACTGAAAATCACTGTTTATTTTATTTGTATCTTTATTCTATTGTATTTATTTGTGCTGTTACTTCTAGTTAAGATAGATTATTCTTATTTTCTTAATTTTTATTTGACGGTTTTTGCCTAAACATAGCACATACCGAACCGTACCGAAACAGTGACTCCAAAACCGTGATACAAACCGAACCATGAATAAGTTGAACCGTTCCACCACTAATAGGTTCTATTGTATTTTGTCATGTCACGCTGCGCCACTTGCGTCAGGTGTAGACACGGTTTAAGTCTGACTGGGGGGAAAAAATGGATGATCCTGTAACCAAAATCAAAATTTTACTGTTATTAATGTCTTTGAGTGTCATTCTTCGCCTGAAAAGACGGCGAAATAAGCCGGGGTTTTCATGTTTTTGAATTGTTGCTCCGGCCGGACAGGGCGTCACAGTATGTTAAAGGGTTAGTTCACCCAAAAATGAAAATTAGCTTGTGTTTTACTTGTCCTCGAAGCATCCTAGGTGTATATGATTTTCTTCTTTCTGACGAATCCAGTCAGAGGTATATTAAAAATTGTCTTTGATCTTTCAAGCCGTTTAATGGCAGTCGATTAGTCGTCAAAATAAAGCTTGCGCATTCATAAAACGTGCCGTAGATGGCTCCGGGGAATGAATAAAGGCCCCCTGTAGCGAATCTATGAGTTTTTGTAAGTAAATTATCCATATTTCAAATATAAACACTTTTCTCTCACTTCTGTTATCTATCATACGCGGTCGGTTCCGTGTATGACTGTTTCTCTCACTTCTGTTATCTATCATACGATCGGTTCCGGCGGAAGGCGCATGTATGCGCAGCACGCCTCTGAGATATGCTAGTCTCGCAAGTTTGTTTAATAGGAGCAAAGGAAGCAAAGTTTCCTTACTTTAGCAAAAAGTTTAGTCTCTTCTTGGTTTATATTGAAATCCTCCGACATTTTTCTTTGCAAATCTTCGGTTTGTACTTCTAATTTGTGACTGCGTTTTGTTTTGTTCTCTCTCCACATTCGTCACTGATCACGCAACGCATATGTGCTGCGTCATCTGCCGGAACTGCTTCAGTGGATGACAGTCAGTGGAAGTGAGAGAAAAGTGTTTATTACGTTTGAAATATGGATATTTTTCTTACAAAAACTCATGGATTCCATGGGCCTTTATTCATCCCCCGGAGCCATCTGCGGCACGTTTTATTATGAATGCGCGAGCTTTATTTGACGACTTGTGGACTGTTCAACTGCAACACCCGCTGAGTGCCATTAAACAGCTTGAAAGATCAAAGACAATTTTTAATATACCTCTGACTGGATTCGTCAGAAAGAAGAAAATCATATACACCTAGGATGCTTAAATCCTCCGACATTTTTCTTTGCAAATCTTCGGTTTGTACTTCTAATTCATGACCGGCGTTTTGTTTTGTTCTCTCTCCACATTCGTCACTGATCACGCAACGCATATGTGCTGCGTCATCTGCCGGAACTGCTTCAGTGGATGACAGTCAGTGGAAGTGAGAGAAAAGTGTTTATTACGTTTGAAATATGGATATTTTTCTTACAAAAACTCATGGATTCCATGGGCCTTTATTCATCCCCCGGAGCCATCTGCGGCACGTTTTATTATGAATGCGCGAGCTTTATTTGACGACTTGTGGACTGTTCAACTGCAACACCCGCTGAGTGCCATTAAACAGCTTGAAAGATCAAAGACAATTTTTAATATAACTCCGACTGGATTCGTCTGAAAGAAGAAAGTCATATACACCTAGGATGCTTCGAGGGTAAGTAAAACACAAGCTAATTTTCATTTTTGGGTGAACTAACCCTTTAAGAGGCGTAACATTTCCGTCACACGCTTGAGGTTTTCGGCCAATCACAACGCACTGGACAGCTGGCCAATCAGAGCACACCTTGCTTTTCAGACCGACTAGCTTTGTAAAAATTGAGTGTTTCAGAAAGGCGAGGCATAGAGGATAAACGATAATGTACAGTATGTGGAAAATAATGTGTGTTTTTTTTTTACTTTAAACCGCATTTTATTACACCAAATACACAAAATTATGTTCTTTTTAGCAACATCATATAACCCTTTTAAATGATTTTTCTTAAAAGCAATATGCTTTAAAAACAATTCTATATTCCCAATACAGTACAGCATCAAGTACTTTATTGCTTAAAGCAGGGGTGCCCAAACTCGGTCCTGGAGGGACGGTGTCCTGCAGAGTTTAGCTCCAGCTTGCCTCAACACACCTGCCTGGAAGTTTCTAGTATGCCTAGTAAGACCTTGATTAGCTGCTTCAGGTGTGTTTGATTAGGGTTGAAGGTAAACTCTGCAGCACACCGGCCCTCCAGGACCGAGTTTGGGCACCCCTGGCTTAAAGGCACAATATGTAATTTTCGCAGCTAGAGGGCGCGTATTCAAAATAAACCATGAGACAAAGGTGTAGTTTGATGACGCCGTGACTGGGTGTGGAATCATGGGAGTTGTCATCTTCATCCCCACAGCCGATGCAATCTGACGGGACTCGGGCAGAAATCACGTTCATGGATGAGCTAACGATTTATTAACGTAGTAGAATGAAGCAGGGTGAGGCTGTACTCGGTACAGTACTTGTGCTGACTTGCATACACCCAAAGCATGCACAATCTCTCAGACAGCATATGACCCAGAATTCAGTTGTGTTTATTGGCTTATTGCACTTCGATGGTCAAATACACACAAAATTGTCAAAATGCCATTTTGGCGAGTATTCATGTAAACGCTTATGTCTTATGTAAACAGCCGAAATCAGATGCATGTCAGTTTATTGGTAAAATAGTGACAGCAGCCTCTAAAATGAGTCATATCATCAGTCATATCGCCCACCCCTAACTGGAACATTAGAATAGCGCATGGTGTTTAACTAAACATGTAAACTGATCTTAAGTGGGCAATACTGACCTTTCTTTGATTTGCTCTTAGAAGAGGACGGTTTCTTCTTTAAGGTCTGAGTCTGTGCGTGTTCTCTCCATCGTCGCAGCTGGAAGTTGATAAATTTCCACATCATAAAAGCCTGAGTGGTGCATATTGCAGCCAGGACAGTCACCCTAAGAGAAACAGAGTGCCATTACCAAACAACTCCAACAATAATACAGCAAAAGGTTGTCATTGCTTTTCCATCATCTGGTGTTTAAATGAATCACGTCCATCCAAAAGGCTCTCACTTTCAGTAGAAAAGCTTTTACAATGTGATTGCATATTATGCATATTATGAGTTGAGACTTTTTGACTGGAAATTTTGGGCAACTAGAGCTAATTTTTATATTTGATGCAAAGGTTTGTTTGTTTGTTTTGGCTACATAACGCTGTTACCATCTCTCACATCATCTCACACTTTTATACTAAAAACCAAACACTTCAAAACTGAACTGCATATCAGATTTGGACAGCATTGCACAAACCACAAAACCAGCATGGTGCAAACCATTTGAATTTAACAGAGAATTTTACTACTTCAAAGCTCTACAGAAATTCAAACAAGGCACTTGATTTATAATAAGGTACTAAAAATTGCTTCTTGAAAAATGAAATCAAAGCGGCAACTGCTGGAAAGCAACTCAAAATGCTTTCAGACATTTGCATGATTTATCTCAATTATTTCTTCCATTTTTTTTTTTTGCAATGACAAGATGAATATCACCCTGCTTACCGTACAAAGAGGACATTAAAGCTTCCCTCTGCAAGGTTCAGACCCTGTTTCTCTGCTCCAGCCAGCCCAAAGCCCACAGTGAGAACAGACAGGGAAAGAGTCAACAACCGGCCCAGCACAAACAGAACAGCCCACACTGTAAACCTGTTAACATACACAAAATGCTTCATAACAGTCAAACATCCTTTCCTGAGTTTCAAAAGCAGAAATGTGCTAATATTCAATTTCCCTGTGCACAGTAAAAATCATTAGAGGCGGACATCGGATGTTTATTAAAGGGGACATCGGACGCCCATTTTCCACAAGTTGGTATGATTCTTTAGGGCAGTGGTCACCAATGTGGTGCCCATGGGCACCTGGTAGCTCGCATGGAGTCTGAGTCGCCCGCCATGCATGTTCTATAAATAGCCTAAATTTGTGTCGGGCGATAAATGATGTCATATCGAGATTATGATCAAATTTATGTTAATAATGATGATAATTTTTACTCAATATGGATTAATCACAACAGAAATAAATGTTACAGCAACCAGTCAGTGCATGTTGCTAACAAGTCTGCATGTTCTGTGTGTCTGTGTGAATGCGTGGAGTAGTTTCATTTGATACACAAACTCAAACACACGTGACTCTGTGATTTCAGCGTCTGCGTCTCAATATATGAGGACATGAACACATGCACTTCATCTTCAGAGCTGCTCTGAGAGTCACTTCACCAGCTTTATGCAGTTTCATTTGAGAAAAAACACGCTGAAACTAAAACGGAAATACCTTCATGACAAACCGTCAAATTAAAAGTCCGGTTTAACTTGAAATTATATGATTGAGTATGTTACTACTGTATACTACAATGCAATTCAGTGTATGTATGTATTGGGAGTATATCAAACAAGTAGCTCTTGCGACTATTTTATCCCTTCAGGGAGCCCTCACTCGTTGGAGACCTGGAGACCCCAGCTTTGGGGTCATCATGAACCGTCTGCAACATACTTTGGTTAAAATTCCTCAGTGGTAGTGTAAACCAACACCCTTTTTACCTTGTCAAAACAGCTCTGTTCACAGCGACCTGTTTCGGTTAGGGATGCACCGATACCACTTTTTCCCAGTACTCGCCCGATACCGATACTTTTATTTTTGGTACTTGC